GTCGTCGAGCTCCTGATCGTCAACTATTTTGGGTCTGGCGGCTACATCGTGGTCAGCTGAAGAAAGGAAGGTCTATCAAATGTACATTTATTAAATAGAAAGAGTCGGGTAGAGCTATGTATGTCCTTATACAGTCTCCGCACGAGGAAAAAAGTAGCGAAAATACGATCTTTTGCCTTTCGGGTCTAGAAATTAGCAGTCTCTATCAGTTTTACTTATATAAACGATTTAATTTAATTTAAGTGAAAGTGGATCACTTACCCCAGTAAAAACGCCGCCGTTCCAAGGTACACGTTCTTGTTCGCGTTGTTGTAAGCGTTGTGCTAGTGGTTTGCGCTCGATATATGTGATTAGACGCGTCTTAGCCGTCAATGCCTCTCTCAGCGATATATTGGCACGAGCAGCCTCTTGACGACCGTACTGGCAGAACTCTATCAGAGCGACGATCATGGCCAAAGTCAGTCCTCCAATCAGCACATAAAATAGTCCAGCAACTTGGCTTAAGGTAAGCTCAGCTTCGTATCTTTGCTATTAAAATTAAATAAAAAAATAATAATTAATTAGCTTGTCCACTAATTCTGTTATAAAGCATTTAAATGTAATAAAGCATTTTGTTCCTTATAATAAAAAAGTAACGGGACTTACTCGCTTAGTATTTTAGTCGGAAGCGGTCCGACTAGTTTCGGCTATAATCGATGGTCTTCTTCAGGGGTTGAGTGCAACGTTGAGATGGATAGTGGCTACTAGGCTAGCTGAGCATATCCGATCCATGAAGAACCAAGATGTCAATGGATCTGCGGTGGCAGACCACTTTCTGAGCTCCAGTGCTGGTCAGTACATTAGGTTTGATAAACCTAAGGTTTTAGCGCGGGACAAGTATTTTGTGCCCCGCAAAATCCGAGAGGCTATTGAAATAAGTAGGCGACCAAATTTTAATAGAGACGGAGGCTGGAGCTTGCCACCGACCTGGAAGCCGTGTCTTCATGGCGCTCGGTATGCAGCTGCAGATATTAGTGGTAACGACGTGGTGAGCTTTGTGTGCTGGACTGTTCCCGACAACAATCCTACGGACAGCAGTAGCGAAGAAGAGTTCCAGGACGCGCTGCCGCAATGCATCACCGTCCCGAGTTCCCCACTGCGGACTGCGTCATCGGCACGCGCAGTCACAGCGCGCATTGCTAGACGTGACGCGGTCGCGAACGTTGCACTCAACCCCTGAAGAAGACCATCGATTATGGTCGAAACTAGTCGGACTGCTTCCGACTAAAATACTACGCGAGTAAGTCCCGTTACTTTTATATTATAATGTGTGATAACCGTGTTAGTTTTCATAATAAAACATTTTGTTCCTAATAAACACTTACAGCATCGACCACATCACATTCTGTCTTATAGAACCAAGTTCGTGTGAGTTTTTGCAGTAGCCCATCGTTTTTCATACCCTGCAAAGCTAAATTGATGCCTTCCCTGGAAAAAAACTTCGCAATATAGATGTCGAATAAAATCTACAAAAAAGTTATTCGCAAAGTATTCGGTCCACTTATTGCATTTTCGCTTGGCAAATTTCGCATAAGCTCAAACAAATTAACGTGATCAAGATGCTCACCGCAATTTCGATCCTTTTGGCAAAGCAACTGCAAAATCCTTGACTCCGTCATTCGTCACCAGCATCTCACAAGGGACATTTCCAGTGATGATGCCAGCCGCATGATATAAGAAATAGGATATCCACCCAGGCTCTTCTACCACAGTATCCTAAAAATGATTTCTATCAGCGAAAAGAACATTAAAAAACAGGAAAAATAATCATAAAATAAAAATGTACATGCACTAAAATGCACTATTCACGGCAAAGACGTTTTATTATTGTCAATAATTCGCTAAAATATCGTTGAAACTCTAGCTGTAGACTAGATGGGAAACATACACACCTGCCGATTTAGCGGAACACGAGTAAAATCTCCAAAATAATGCAAAGTTTTATTAAAAGTCTGGTAGGTTATTTTTAATTATAAAAAAAATAATTTTAAAAAAATACAAGCTTGAGACCTAGGTTTCAAGTATGAAAATAATTGCATTTATTTATTCATTTAATCATTGTCATTTAATCATTGTATAAGTAGATGACGCTCCTGTATGACTAGTACGTAATTATATTATTATCTTTTTCTTTTGTTCTTTAATTAATCACGATCCTTTGATATCGGAACTACTGGTAATCTATGTCCCATTCCGCACTTCCGCAATAAATTTATTGTATTTATATAATGAAGATGTATAATGCTTTGGCCTCATTTGTTGAAAATAATAATATCAAACTTTAATATGTATGTAGGTACATATCCTATTAACTATTAATCTACTACATCCTTTTTCATCTAAATTCCGTACCTTTCCTATAATCTGTAACTCTGTTTCTCTAACCTTTTGATTGGCTAAATTTGAAGTCAAAGCCAAATATAATAAAAAAAGAAAAAGAAAAAAATAGCTAATAAAATAAAAGTAATATGACGAAACGAAATTTCTTAACTGTAATCAAATATTTATTGAATTACAGATGTTTCTCCACCATGATATTCAATTATTTTTTATGTGAAATCACTCCACTAGTTTGTTATAATTATTAATACGAATGTCGAACACTTAGAAAAAAATTCCTTCGGTCCGACCGGAGCAAACCGTGTCAGACGCTATGCCAACTAAGCAACGGAACGAACCAGTAGACCTCGTGAATTTTTCTATGTGCTTGTTTTGTCGGATCTTTGTATTGGTTTTCAACGACTTTTTAACCGTAGTGCCATCTGATTCTTAACTGTAGTACAAAAATAACGACATTTAAAATAACAGGCATTGGAAAAAGAGTAAGTTTACCTATGAATTTTCTAAACTTTAGTTGTAAAAGTTTTTTATTTATTTATTCAAATTCGATTTAGTCAATGTTAAATTGTTACAATTTCAGAATTTTCTGCTATTTCTGCTTTGTTACAAAATCTTCAAAAATGCATTTTAATTAATGTTGATTTTTTTCAATAACTGACTAAAGCTGTACGATATTAATTGAATTGCTACTGAATATCTAATGCTTGTTTATTTAAATATAAACGTTACTATTTTATAATCTTCGTTTATTTTTGTTCCGTCAATGTTATATTATGCCACGCCGGTGTGTGTATCATGTCTATAAACTGATCGCACTTACCTCTGGACAATTAGCTACTTGTTCATACTTTGAAACAGTGCCACCCATACGCGTCACGGTGAGATAAGTAGTAAGATTAGCTGTATAAGAACTGATGACGATCAGAGTGAAGAACCACCACACTGAGCCCACCAATCTCCCGGAGACAGATCTAAGAAAAAAATTATAATTTTGAGATGCTCTATATTTTATTTGCTGTAAAACATGAATTTGTTCTGCTCATGCGGTATAAAATCTGGAGCGCTCAGAGTAAGTTCACTAAAGTTACTGATGGACCAAATAAATTTTCGCTCTATTTAAAAATATTGGACTCCGAGGACGTTACTCGTTGCCGGCGGTAGTAGTCTTTTAGAATGCATCTAACGCTAAGTGTATTAGACGAAATTACCTTAAAAACTTACTTTACAAAATCAAATATTAAAATATTCACTGACCTCGGCGAAATGTCGCTGCCTTGCTGCATAAAAGAACCCAATGTGAACCATAACGAATTCCCAAAGCTGAATTCGTTGATGACTTGAGTCTGTAACAGTGGGTGATTGGTTAGTCTATCTATCCATTTAATAAATAAGAACCCAAGAAACTATGATAAACAAGTATAATGTGGTTTTCAATTTACCTTCGTGTCAGTGACATCAGGATTGTCAGAGTTTGGAGTTTCGGATATTGATACTACTCGCCATTCGTACGGTGAAAATCGTGAAACGAGGTACAAAACAATTCCGACAGCAAACATGCTGAGTACTATGCAGACCTGCAAACAATAAATTTGTTTATGCACTGCTATCATTCAAACACAAAAGTCGGAAACAAATAAATAAAAATGACTATCAGTTTATTTAAATGTAGAATTTGACCACAGCTGAAATCCAATATTATTTAAGTTTATTGTTTAAGTGCATTATCGTAATCTAAATAAAGCTACTTACCCAAACCTCATTAGAGAGCGGTCGCAGGAAACTGAATATTGACCAATTATCTCTTGAGTTCTTATTGCCGTACGCCTTTATATTAAAAGATAGGAATGGCTTACTGAAGTCCACAACAGATTCTCTTTCTAAAGTTACTGTTAGTGGAGCTATCGCCATATCGGCTTCCTAGAAATAAAAAAAATAACCTCGATAGAGAAATTCGTAAATTAGGTTAGGAGTTATGAATTTGATTTGTATAATCAAATGGATTACAAACGAGATGACGTAGATGAAGTTCAATACGTTATGATAACCATTAGAACACAAACCCAACTTTGCAAGAACTAATTCATGTAAATGTAAGCTTGGTCTATTTGCAATGCCGAAAGATCATTTCAACTTTCAAATTGAATGAGCAGTTCTATGAAGTACACGCGTACACAAGTGTTTGCGTTCAGCGCAAGTCCATAATTGATTTTTCATCTGTATTTAAACTTAGTAATTAATACAAACGTTAATTTAGTGAGTGGGTACTTTGATAGCAAGTAAAGCATGTGGGTACTTTAGTACAGATAGGCTCAACTCACACTGGCGCAGAGTCGAACCGTCGCGTCGCGTCGCGTCCTGTTTTGCAACTACAACGCATACCGATGCGCGTCGGCGCGCGACGATACTCGCATTAGTGCGCCCAGATCATTGTATGGTCGGCGTCTGACGCCTCACTGCGCGCAAGTAACGCACGGCGATGCACGAAACCGCTCGACTTAAACCAAGTGTCGACACGCAATTCCATGTTTGCATAATATAAATTTGTACCTTAATAATGGGAAAGTAGAGATGAATATGCTGTCGGCGAAAAACATGACGCGTCGCATAGCTTCGACTCTGCGCCATTGTGAGTTGAACCTATAGTGTAACTTTAGTTTCACTTGGTTCTTTCTCAACCAAGACACCGTACCCCGTAAATTAAAATAGCTTTTTTATTAACTTTTTACAGCTTGTTGCACTTGAGACTTGTAATTTTAAAAGGAGCATCCGCCTGTGCGACAGTTTGACATGTCTGTGGATGATAAGCACTTTAATGATATTGAATACTTCCACGCTTGAATACGCTAACGAAACTGAAAAATAGTGTTCTAGCCGAGCACAGGAGGGTGCAAAAATATTGCTTTATAATAATTTTTTTCACAAGCATTACGGAACATAACGTATAGATGCGTGCGATAAGGGAACGACGGCTGAGATTTATGCGGCGTAAGTTGCTATGAAAAAGGGAAACCATTTACGAGCTTCATATTTAGGAACCTCTTAGTATTTTTTAAGTTCCATTTTATTATAACGAGTATAGTATTAAAATAATTGACGGGGTGGAACATTCCGATAATTAATACAAATTTAAGAGAAATTCACAATCACCTCAGTGCTGCGTTCTGGCATAGAAATCCAATTCTCAAAGTGGAAGTAAGCGATATTGTTAAAACAATTGAAAATAAGTTCTAAAGTTTGTTATTGCATTGTAGTGTTACTTATCTATTTAAATAAGAAATTTTAATTTAAAATTTATAATTAGAACAGTTATCTATTTTTTTGAAAAAAGCATTTGCTACTAAGAATCTCTAATAGTTGTTAAAACAGTACGTGCCTTCACGTTATTATAAGTACTATGTACATACATCATAGGATGATGTTTCGAGACCCTTGTTAAACGGTTAAACAAAGGATTCGCTTTATTTAACGGTCAATTTAAAATTATAAATATGTACATAGTTGATTCGTAGATACGAACCTGTCTCAATATTTCTCCGATCATTCCGTCCCAACCTCCAACTATTTTCGGATCCTCGTTTCCGTATTTACTGTCTTTGACTGTGCGCAATTCGTCTGTCAAACACAAAACTTCGTTTTAATCAGTTTTTTCTATGTTACTCCCAGAAACAGTAATAGTTTTGTTTCACGACTGAATTGGATAAAAAACTTGAATGAAATCAACGAATTGTGAAGATTCAATTTGCTTTGAGGAATGCTTAAAGGCTTTCTCACAACAGCATAGTAAAAAATGCTGTTTTTGCCTTCACTAATTTAATTTTTGTATTTGTAAGTATAACCCATTGAACTTACATTTGATTTCCAACTTATCAGCCAAAATCTTGGTTAGGTCCGCGCAGAATCCTTTGTATGGATCTATAGTTCCGGATGCTGGGTATTCGGGATTTAGGCGCATAATGTAAGGTGGCTCTTCTATGGTCGACACGATGTATGTCTTGTTTCGGTCGTACCATCCCGTTACGCTTTCAGGCCTTGACTTTGGGTTAAGAGGACGGAGGCCTTTGTCGTCGTACCAAGTTCCAATCTGTGTAAATTGTACAAAACAGTGTAACGACGTGGTTTAAATTCATTTACTTTAGCGGTAGATTTGGGCAACACGGAGATCTTCCGGCAGGCTATACGTATTACATGTAATATTCAATGTCGGAAAATATGTTGTTGTACTATTATATTTAGTGCTGATTATTACATGAATGTAGAGGTACATATGTTGTTACTTACCTTCACCATATCTCCAGACAAGGTCATCTCAAGAACTTGTAGCGAAAAGTTGCGACGGTGACCCGCTTCGTCGAATCTGATGATGCCTGTCAACCCTTCTATCTCCGTCTGAAGCAAGCAATATAAACGAACCTTGTTTCCCAATTTAAAAGCATTGCGAAATGGCGCTTGCATTGTACGGCATAGAGTAAAAGTTTATCGGAAGTCTCATTTACAGCGCGCAGTTGGAGGCAGTTTGCACGTGTTAATGAGGCTTTACATAGAGAAAACTAATTAATCAACAGAACTATTTTCATTATCTTTACTTGAATCTTTTTATTTTACTTACTTAATTTTAGAAATGGCGATTAACATTTTAGTTGTTAAAAAAGAAAGTATTATAGACAGAAGTTGACTATATAGAAAACTCGGTACACTCAAGTCAAGGAGGTCGATGAGGAAAAATAAAGCAGTTTCACCTACGCCACGGCGTACCACTGCAGCTCGAGATTAACTTTTCATTTATACTTTCACAAAGGGAGAGGACGCTAGCTGGTTAAGCAGATATGAATTCCGTTTAGTTTTCTTCATTTCAAAGCTTTGTTCCAGGATTTAGCCAGCCAAAGAATCAACTTTTATATATATATACTATAACGTTGACTCTGGCTAAACTGAAACTTCAAAATGTTGGTCTAAAATATTCGGTATTTTGTCTTTCGATGTTGTGGAGCTCGATATTGGAATGTAAATAAAGTTTTTCATTTGGAAGCTAAGAAACCTACTTTCTTTTAAATGACTGTAAAGATTTACAAAAAATGTTAATAATAATTAAAGTTAACAAGCTCTTTTTGCAACAAAAGTAAAAAAAAGAGTTTTGATGCATAAAGAACTTCTTAATGACATTAACCTGATTCTAATGGTGCATTTATACTAAGTCGTCGGCGACTTTCGCTTGCTCGTCGAAGGCGGCAAGCTGCCTGGTGTAAATATTGAGTCGTCTGACGACTGTAGTTTGCAGTCGAAATCGACCGAAGCTACTAAGTGCGTTGGCTTCGGCAGGACGAAGTAGTCTGCCGAGGGCGACAGACGATTCGGTGTAAGTAGCAAGTCGACTGCATCGCCTTCGGCAGGCGAAGTAGTCTGCCGAAGGTCGGCAGAAGATCCGGTGTGAATGAGCCGTGTTTCTCAAACGATCAATATTATTCAATTACCTGCGATAATACAGCTGCCCCTTAAATTGCAAGAATGACCTGTGATTTAAAGATAATTATGCTGTGTTATAAACCCGGTAGCAACGGGTTTGCATTAGAGTGGCACTTTGGACAAGACACGCTTAAGGGCAAATTTCGATAGCCGCCGCCAATGCAGAATAGGCTGTCTTTATGACTATATAAAAATGATTAGATAGACTGCGTTTCAATTACATACACGAGAACACGGTACCTATCACGGTGAATGGTTCACAGTGAATTTAATTGACATCCCAATACGCATAAATAACGAAGTATTCGCTCGCAGTCATAATTGAATGTATGAATTGGCATCAATCATTCGCTTTAGCAATAGGGTATATTAAATTACTCCAGAAAATAGAGGGCCGCTACAGGGGGAAAAATATATTTATAATATAAATGTAAATATAATATAAATGTCATAAGACCAAGACCAACTGAGCCTTTTAATATTTTGGTATGAATATCAAAAAGGAGAGGTTTGAAAAGCTTGCATAGTTGGTAAGACATCTTTGATGGTCTTTGGTTACTGTTCAGTGACATTAAACAAAAAACAAGACTTTGTGACACTCACTTTTTTGATCATCTTGGATATCTTGTCGCCGTGTTCCAGAGGGGTGACTTTTCCCTTGGGATTGCAATCAATGATCTTGGTGGTATTCGCATTAGCGTTGCGTCGCATACTGGCACGGAAAGCTTCAGGCTTCCTACGTAGGAGGCGAGTTATTGAATCCACAAGAACTTGCACACCGTCAAACATCAATGCTGATTTGGCCTAAAAATGATTATTCTTTAAGGATAATGGTATGTAATGAATGTATTAAAACTATCGCATAATTTTGTTAATGTAAAGCATGTTTAATTTATTATGTCGTATAAATACTAACTTGTTATCATACTTTCCCAGTGAATAAAATAATGACTTAATAAACGTCTCGCCATGCTCGACAAGAAGCTCCCTAAAAAAGATTCTTCAACAAGTTCGCCTTTTGAATTATAATTAGGAATTCATAAAATTTCTAGGGCGTGCGCTGGAAAATTGTCTGTGCCTTTAGTATTACTATCACGTAAATATGTAATGGCGACCGGCTCCGGTAAGACCCGTTCCCCTAACGGACACACAGCTTGACGAGCACTGACGTCAATTTCTATTTCTCTTGTTGTATGTCCAGTGACACTATATATGTTATGTATATGTACACATACATAATATGAAATGCCTATTATATATATTTACGCAATACTTATAAGAATATTTTTTTTAATGCATTTGTTACATTTTATTTACAAAACACTTACCGAAATGCCAGTCCTTTTCCAAATTTCGAAATCACGAGCGAATTTTCTAGAAAAGTCTACCACTCTGAATCCAGTTACGTTAATAGCTCCGAACTCGGCGACCTCTTTCTCCCAGCGATCGTCCATCACCTGAATCATAACATGTTTTATTCCATTATAACCGTAAGGAATTTGGGCCGTGAAATAGGAAGTCAAATGAATTTACCTACACTGGTGGTTACACATATTTACATGAAGTGTTGTAATAAGACGCGTGCAATACAATCATACAGTATTTTAGAGCATCAACATGATTTTAGAGGATGACTTCCATCAAACTTTAACTTACCTTCAACGTCGGCAATTAATAATTTGCTTTAGGTGGCAATGATTGCTTTCGGTATATTGCGCATAAGGTCTTTTAAACATTTATTGAGACATGATACTGCAAAGTTTTTTCTGTTTTGTTTCCTTAAGCAATCAACAGACGTAGTTATGCGCCATAACAACGCACACACACACACAAACACACACATTTATTATATAATTGTATGTTGTGTTAAGAGGGAGGGATACAATAAAAACAGCTATCATTGACAGAAATATTATTTCAACATCCACCTGCTGCAACGCGCTGCCTTCGTGTGGCAGTAGCAGCGCGGTAGCAGTCAGTAGGTAACTCACCTATCGAAAAAACCGAACTAAAAGATAAAAAACAATAACATGGAAAAATAAAGAGTTTCATATGAAGAGGATTAGTTCTATGAGTTGTTGATGGCAGGAAGAAGAAATGAGTGTTTCCGCTTAATTGTTAGCCAAGAGTTGAACCAAAAAATGGAAATGAATTATTTAATTAGTGAAAAGTAGTTTGAAGTTTCAGTTTTGAAGTTGGCGTACTGAAATTGGATGCTGCCGGGAGGTTGTTGGTGCTGTTGAGGTGGTATGGCAAAAATGGTATTAGTTAAGACGGAACGAGATAGCAATGATAGAGTTTATATGACGACAAGGAGTCGCGTGAATTCTAAATGAAAGTAGAAAAAAGAGTATAGAAAAAAAAATATAGTTGAGAGATCTAACACAGGTCACGCACCAAGGAATGGCGTGCCGCGCATCGTCTCGATATTACGACTCGGGTGAATTCTTAGTAACGCTACGCTTTGGCGTATTAACAATAACTTTATTAGGTAAAGATTAATATTTATTTGTATATACGTATAGGTTATAATTTCTGCTTGTATCTATATGAGGTGAAACGCATACGATGAAAGATTTCAATTCACAAATTAAGAATTTACATATTACGAGTACGTATACGAGTAAAGAGTGGTTAGAAATACGTGTGTTTCTACGAGTCGAAAGTTAAATTTTGCTTTAGAATAAGGAATAATGAAATTTGCTTTCAATGTTGAAATGTATAAATGAACACGAATAATAATGAAAAGAACATTTAGAAAGAAAGTGCGACTTTAAAATCTTTCATTACATATCACACATAACTCCCATGAAGTAAATATGGCTATGGATTATGAGCAATTATTTTAAAAAGAGTTCGATTTTAACAATATTGTGTAGAAAGGAAATGTATGTATTTCGAATCAATCGAATCTCCACTGTATTCGGATAAAAAGCACGATTGAATAATAATTTCATTTTGCTTCTAGAGACATCATCTAACAGCCATTTTAAAAGGAAACAAATTTGCAAAGATAAAGCTACGGTACGGAGCTCAATAATGGAGTTAGATAAAGTTAAGACAAGTAAAGCTATCTTCTTTATTTTTATTTATTCATATTTCTGCATTCTTAAAATGCAGAAATATGAATATAAAAGTGTTGTGTTAGCCAAAGATTGGATTTCTTAAACATTGAAATGTAGGTTTTTATTAATATTTTGGTTTGTAGGTATAGGTTCCTTTCATGTTGGATTTTAAAGGTCAAAAGCTTATGAATACAATTTTATTTCATGTTCATCACATTTTGTTTCAATTCAATAAAGGATTGGTTTTGAGTCGATGGGATTGTTATGTAGAGATACGAAATGAAAATATTTATTAAAGACACTGAAATTCAGTTTTGAAAAAGTGCTTTGAACAAACATGAAACAAATTAGATTTAAACCTACCGATTATGCTGGTCGTCTAAAAGTTATTGGAACTTTTATAAGCTGATGTTTTGAATATATGAGCATTTTGTAACAAATACAGGGAGATTTATTTTAGAGATGGTAATAAACATAATAATAGGAAAAATCATTCGTTATCCGTAGTATCTCGAGATGCGCATTTGAGTGAAGTGATATTTACACCAGAATAAAAGGTACTAGGTACATCTGATCCTGATTCGGTTGAGGATTAATCGTCAAAAACTTAGACAGACACACTAAATAAAAAAAAAAATCCCTGCATCCTGAAGAATAAAATAAATAAGTGATTTATAGTAGTAAAGTAAGTAGTCGTAAATACGTAGTGGTATCGAAAGAGAGCGTAGAATGCTGGCGGTACGGGGTAATAAGCTGATTCGCATGTTTGCACGCAGTATTAGAGACGTGAATATTTTACTTTTCAAGACACATTGTCGGTCTTTTTACACAATCAGTCTGTGGATTTCGTATAACAGGTGTACCAACAGTGCTCTGTGCGTGAGATAGAATAACATCTTTAGGGCTTTGTCGGAGATGTCGTGCTTCTGCAGCGTGTCGGCGATGTTTGCCTGAGCTTGCATTTGGTGATTTTTTCGCGATCAGGTAGTACAATGTGTGGTGTACCTACATAAAGTGATGCCAAAGTTGCACGCTTAGTGAACTTAGATTTATTTTTGAAATTTTTACTCTAAAGTTTTGCATGTGTATACAAACATGTGTGATAAAAAAAGGCGAATCCACTCATGGGCGAATCACTGAAGCTGAATGCTATATTTTGTGCTGCTTAAGGATTTTAGTCTGGAACTCGGGAAAAAGTTCGACCAAAGTGAACCTAGCATAAAATCTACATTTCTATCAAAAGGCTGTGAGAGCGCTGCTGGTGCTGGTGGCGTTCTGTGGGATAATAGTAATGTAGCCTGGAGAGTAGCAGTAGCCTCCGTAGCCTCCGCAGCCTCCATACATCTTACTTAGTAAGTTCAGTAGTTCAAAAGTTGAAAGTCCAGTTTTATAAGTATTTATTCAGGTTTGACAATACTATTATGAATGTAAACAGTGTAAATATAACTAGTAAAAGGTTCAAAAAGATGAGAAGAGATGTGTTCGCTACCGCAATCGGGCAGGGAGTGACGATGGAACGAAACAAAATCAGAATGCGAGACAAAATGGAACAATTCAAAATTTGAATTTAAATACTAGTGTGACAATAAAATAAATAAAAAGTTGGGATGACGATGCAAAGAGGTCACACCGTCACAAGGCAAACATTTTGCGAACTGCTGTAATATATATACTTATTAAAAGCGTTTGCGCACTACATTCGATTCTTATCAGGGGGTCTACTCTCGATCTCCGTCCGACATCCGTCCAAAACAATTTAAAAAAAATTACTTATTTGACAGTAATTGTTTCAGACGGATGTCGGACGGAGATCGAGGGTAGACCGCCAGTTCCGAGTCCGAGAAATATCAGTCCGAAATGTCACTGGGATCATTTTATCTCTAGGTGCATAAGCGATATTCGTATTTTCTCGTATTCGAATCGGACTTAGTGCACAAGCAAAATCCGAAGTGAGACCGAGTTTACTAGATTTGTGTAGTCTCGGCTTCGGAAGGAATACGAAACGGACGCGTGGCGCAAAGGCACATTCAACGCAAAGAAAAATTTCAACTAAAAATAAGAAATAATTGGTAACTATTCCTTAGGTACACGTATTAATCAAGTTGCTTTTATTCTATTGAAAACATTTTTGTTATTCTCCAGCTACCAGGAAAAGTTTTAAAACTACAAATTATAAAAAGGATGCGAATTTTGTCAAAATGCCGATAAAATATGTGTTTTAATAATTCCATAATCTAGGACATTGTTCAAAAGTAACATAGATTTTTTCCAGACTCGGCAACTTTTTTAAATTTCCACCACTATCTCTAAAAGGGAACAGAGAAGGGATTACTTACCAGTCCGCTCAATAAGTAATGGTAGTTTCTGCGGCCGAGGTGCACGTCACGCACATGCATAATTAGGGTATCTTTAGCCAGTTGTGTTGTAGAGTCGAGAACTACGAATTTTTTGCTCCAGCGATCAAGCCGTTCTATGGCATTGAGATATTCGATTGCATCAGAAGCGTTGCCTACTCGTTTTACGTTTGCAATACGGAATGTAGCAGTCCTAGGGTCCAAGCTTTGGTACAACTGTTGCAGTCGAAGTAACCCTGCGAAAGATAACTACTACATTGAAATGCATACGAACATAACTTGTTTGTTATGTGTATTACAGTTATAGTGTATACTTAAACTCAGATTTAGCTAAACTTGTATACGAGTTTGGGTAACTTTGTAAATATACATTCGTAAATTGAAGCTACTTACTAAAGTAGCTTCAATTCACGAACGGTTTTATAGTCCTAACTTCAGACTATTGAATATCATTTGAAAAAGTAATTTACCCTAAAAATAGTTTAATATTATTTATAGTCTACGCCAATTGCCAAATCCTTTCACCACGATGGCAAACATATTCCATGCACAGTTCAGCAAGGCGGCTACTTGTGGCATGATCAGAAGTTCTGGGCCGCGATAATTACTGTAATACCATCGATACGACAAAAAGAAGAGAGGATCATTTTCTGTAACTAATAAAGTATAGATACGATGGTGGGTTGTGATCATAGAACAATTTATCACATAATATGAACAGAACAACATAAATGTATTGTAAAATTAGTGCTTCCCAAAGCTGCACAATCTTTCTAAACTCAACAAATGTATTTGATATTTTTCGTTTTATGTAACGGACAATTCCATTTACTTCACAAAATAGTCAGCCTGTATCAGATCAAACCCACCCAAACTTACGAGAGACTTAAATGCGGGCCATGCAAATATATGGGACCTCTGCGTGGCAGACCAGCATTGTAACTGTTCGGTCACGGAGGCATATCTGCCACGTCGTCGTTGTACAAGGGTCACCAAAAAAGAGTGCTACAATCGAAGCTGCTGAAAATTAAGAGAAGAGAGAGAAGAGAAAATTTTGGCTATATTTGTTTGTCAATCGTATACGATTTAATTTCAAAGTGACAGCACAACACTGTCGCTTTAAAATTAAATAGGTAATATTAATATAACTCAAAGCATTTTGAGATAAATACTATGTTAGTTGTCATGTGGGATATATTATTTTATCTATTGTTCCTGAGCATATATATATAGTAGAAATAGTGTCACTGTTTTTATTTTTCATTATTTATTTACAAGAAAACGTGAAGGTTAACTTCACACACCTACGTCTGGACGCTTTTGTAGATATCGTATTCAAAAGAGCAACAGGGAGCTATAGCGATAAAACGATACCCTTTCTTTTAGGCGAGAGTTATTTGGCTCCTTGTATGTATATTTGAATTGTTTTGATGCAGTCAGGAACGGTGTGAAATCCATTCCGCTAGAGTTATAAACATTGTTACTGTTCCTAAACTTTTATAGCCTATTGTTTTTTCAAATATTGACTGCGTTGCCTTACTTTGATACTTTTTAGGGATTTGCAACCATCACGGTAGAAAGGAAGTGAATTTTATATTTTATGTTGTAATGTCATTATTATACTTATCTATTATTGATTTTTTTCTTTTTACAATATATACCTATAGCGCTATAGATTACTTACGAAAAGCTACCGGAATCTCTGTTTTGTGAGTGTTTCGAATTTCAAAACTTAGAGGTGTATTTGTCATTTACCTATTAATTACATTAGGCTTTGCTAACGTCGAGTTGCGGACACCAGCCCGTTACACCAAGTATGAAGCATATTTTTATACCTAATAATTAATAATAAAAATGGCACGCATATAAGAATTATTTCAAAATCAATAAATAATCACAAACACGCACAATGTAATTTACCTTGAAAGGTACCTCGTATGACGCCAATGTTTTTGAAGACCTATTACCTAATAATTATATTTTGCATTACATTAGTTTTCAAATGGAATGGTGATCCTTTTATAACAAGATCTGCTTTTTTAGGCATTATTGTGTAGAATTGACGGTGTAATTAATTCACTTAATATTGTCAAAGTAGCGAGTGGCAATCATTTTTTGAAATTAGAGTAAAATTGTTAAAACACTCTCGACAGGAAAGATTGATTATGCGTAATGGCTATTACGGCGATTGAAGTCATGGCAATAAATTGTAAAAAAATACGCACTATTTATTTTCATTCGTTTTTTAAAATGTGAATTGTGTAGGTAATAAAAAGAATAATCTGATAAACTATCGTAAAATTTAACAAACCAAGATAATGATTGTTATAAATTTATCGCGACGCTATTGTAAGATAAAAATATTTGATGGAAATGTCAATAGAAGATGAAACACGCCATTCATCACTAGCCGGTTTCATTATGCAGCTCCGATCTGGCGCTTTTGTCATAATTTGAGGGTAATATCCGCGAAAAGATTGAAGGCGTGACGAAGACGCGCCGAGAAGAGGGTTGACGTGTGGGTAATGAAGGCGTTATCGTCGGATTTGTCGAGCGGCCACCATCTCCCGACCCGCTCGGTACAACTGCCGCCGCAACGACTAACTCTCTTTGCATTTTCATATCGTGTCACATAGCCCCTTTTATTCCCCGAATAAAGTTTCCCTTGGAAACTTTGCAATGTTTATCCTGCCTGCTGTTACAGGAAAGAGTTTAAAAATGGAAGTGTCGTAACTAAGCGTTCTTATTAAAAAAAACAAGCAAAACTCATATCTCTTAATTGAGCGTTAAAGTTGATGGACTTTTGTACAATTGAACGCATGTCTTTCAAACCTTTTGTGTTACGAAACTTTATGGGCACATAAGACCGCCTAAGATAATAGAAAAGCTTGTCTATTTCAAGAAGGAAACTCATACTACGAAGTTTTTACATGCCTTGGAGTTCGTCGACAATGCATAGGTACCTCTCTGCCTCGTGTGGCTGAGCACTAACTTTCGGTACTTCGTTTTGCAACATCTGCTAAATTCGAATCGAAAAGTTTTTCTTTATCTTTAAAAGTCCACTTCAGTAACGACCCAGAAGCTTATCCTCTGTCGGGATCAGCATTAACTTGAAGCTCTCTAAGATGCTCTCGGGAAATGTTCGACTTGTTGATTTTTAGGGTTCAGTAGCAAACAATGAAAAATAGAGAGTTCACCCAACATTTTCACTTTGTTCCACGTTCGTCCGTATATGACCATTTTTTAAGGTGGATTTTTATAAAGGGTTACCATGTAATATACCAATTGCCAGTAAAAATATCAAGCTTATACTCAAAACAATTAAAATATTTAAAAAAACATTCAATATCTACAGAAGGCACAGAGGAAGAAGTAATTTTAAATATCTACTTATTCAACGCCACGTAATTTTGCCGCTATTAGACCGTGAGTTTTATCTTCATTGATTATACATTATTTTATGTTCATCATCATCATATCAGCCGGAAGACGTCCACTGCAGAACATAGGCCTCCTACAAAGATTGCCTGACTAGCAGGTCGGATGCGACGTGCATCCATCGGTTACCCGCCGCCATTACTAGGTAATCCGTCCATCTAGTAGGGGGCCGTCCCACTGAACGCCTACCGATTTTTACCCCAACAGACGTCAGTTCTACGAGCTATGTGCACTGCGCACTGGTACTCTATAGCTCGTTGAGTGATTGTGAGTTTTTTTATGAGGCCCATAGTAAGTGACCACGTCTCAGAGCCGTAGGCCATCGTTGGCAATACACAATGCTCGAAGACTTTTGTATTCAAAGACTGCAGTATTGTGGATGAGAAAACGTACCAGAGCACCCTAAATGCTGCCTAACCGAGTCAGATTCAGATTTCCTCTTTCTCGAAGTTGGCTCTGCCTAATTGGATGGTTTGTCCGAAGTACACATACTCGTCAACAACTTCGAGAGTAGAGGTTCCCACTATTATAGGAGTAGGTATAACATGGACATTCGAAATAGTTTCATCCTGTCCATGTACATTTTGAGACCCACCTGCTAAACTCTACTGAGGTCACCGCGCATGGTGAGTTATGTTATTTCTAAATTATTATCCATACATTATTTTATGTTGTTCCTAATAATAATAATTTAATCAAAGTTCACATGAACTTTGATTAAATTATCGAATTTCATCATTTCGATATGAGAATTTCGAAGTATCCAGTTGATCGAATTATATAATTATACATATGTATATGTACATATATATTGTCACAGACAATTTACTTCAATTACCACTGCACCATTCATCGCACCGGTTTATATTATGCCAATAATTAATTTATTAGATATTTGGAAGCCAGAATAACTGCGAAATATAAACACCAAAACGTAACGCCCATATGAAATAAACTTCTCTTATGCATTCATCGTAATCGATATTCTTCAATTTCAGTTCAAAATTTAACCATTACTAATGTCAAAGATAGATTTGCGAGTCAGCCGTTTCAAAGATTTGGAACTTTGTTTTGCAGCTAGCTTACGACTGGACTATTGATATTCTTACACTAGTATCACAGTACGTACATGATAATGAAAGTAATTTGAATTTTTAATTAAGCTAAGAATAAATATATAACAATAAATAATAGACAACATCACATACGGTGCTCTGTTCCAATGTAAGTTACTAAAGTACTTGTATTATGGAAATCGGAAACAACGACGGTACCACAAACACCCAGACCCGAGACAATACAGAAAAGTTAGTTTTCTCCTTTGATCCGGCCGGGGATCGAACCCCGGACCTCAGAGAAGGCGACAACATGAAAACCGATGTGCAAGCCACTCGACCACAGAGGTCGTCAAGATGAAGAATAACAATTTTTGATAAAAATTCTTGTAGACAGGTTATTACGAGAAATATAATATACTCTGGCTGCACTACACAATCGTCTTCACAAAGTCACAAATTCATTCAAGGGGCAATGTAATACGCTGCTGTAATAAGATTATAGTTGCTATTCAAAATTTAACTCTAGTGAAATATGTGGCGTAAGAAAGCCGAGCCACGCGGCTGCAGGCGGACTGTATTTAGGGCGCTAGAAATCCTCTGCCTGTGCTATCCTGGCTAAAATGATATGGAAGTACTCACGCGTTCCCCCGTTCACTACGACGGCAGCGGTGCGGGTGTGAATCTTCTTCAACTAGGCTGGAAGATGGCATTGTCTGACTCGTCTGTATTATAATGTGATC